CCAGTCATGGACATTCTGTGGGTGGAATGTAAGAGCTGATCTAGGTTATAACATTTATTTGATTTTTAATTTCTCTTGATAAAGCACTACTCTTCCATGTGCATTTGCAATTATAACCATTTTGTAAATTCTTTCTATGCTGACTTAAGTGTGCTCTCATGTCCATTGTACAGTGACCTGTATATTAATTTATAAAATATAGTAGATGTTCACAAAACAATTAAGCATTTTATTTTAATTGTCATGAACCAGAATGGGTAAAACTAAGCACTATATTTGTACTGAGAGTTTATTGTAAAATGACAAAATAATAAAAACAATGATAAAGACTTTTCAAAACAAAGTCATAGAAAATTAACAATGATTAATCTATTGCATCTTGTTATCTTCAAGTTAGTTGCTCAGATTACAAGATGTAGGCATGGAAAAACGATCAGACAATGAAAGCATAAACTGTTCTTTTTGACGAACCAACAAAGGTTAATAGTATAACTATTTATCTTGTGTGTGTGCCTATATATATATTTCCCCCCTTCTTTTTTTTTTCTCTTTTTCACCTTCTCAGTGGTCCTTTCCTTCCTAGCAGTATTTTTATATGATGGAATACTACTCAGCTATAAAGAAAAAGATAAACTTGGGACTTCTATAGGTAAATGATGCAGCTGGACATCACACACTCATAAATGAAAGAAATCAGACTCACATGTGTGAACATCATATGGTCTCCCTGGTCTAAGAAACCGAAAGAGTAAATACGGTCCAAAATGTACAACAGATACTCTGAGAGTAAAGGAGGAGGAAACTGTCCTCAGAGATCAATAATCTGGGTTCTAGTTCTGGGTCTGTGTCTGCCAATAGCTTGCTTCACGTCCTTGGTTGGAGGAATGAAGCTCTTGCAGGCTGCAGTAGATTCATCTATAAATTTCAGTAATTTTCACTAGAACAGACACACTGTTGGGACACTGGACTTGCTCCAGAGGGAGACATACATCAAAGGATGAGATTATGCTCTGCTTTATGTCAGTTTTGCTTTGCCTGGAAAGAGCTGTCTCCAGTACCTATGGCACCTCAGACAAAGTGAGAAACAGAAATCACTTCCTTCTGAAGGACAGAAACCACTTGCATCCACAATCCCCCTGTCTCTGGATCATCCAGTTGCCGATAACATGATATTAACATCCACATTCAATCACTCTGAGGTCCCCTTGGGGAAACACAATGTAAAGTGAAGGGCATGTTACTGAATGGATGTAATCCAAATTCAGACTTTATATAGAGCAGCTGGCAGGGAGATCTACGGAGGAGAAGACACAGAATACACTTGTGCTGGGCCTGGCCCTTTGATAGCTCAGTGCGCAGTGTTCTGTGTTGTGACTAGGTAAGATAAAAGCTTACGGTGAAAGTTCTAAGTGGTTTCTCTGAAAACCAGAAAATCTTGGGTGTGAGTAAGACAGTTAATATCTGACAGGCAAGTAAGCACATCCCTTCTTTGGCTCCACAGTGACCACAGAGCCAGTAGGAAGCCGAGGGCATCGTTTGTCTAAGATGAATGTGTTTAGGAACCGAGGTCCATGAACTCATGGAGGCACTGATTTTGGCACCAGTACTGCAGTTCTGAATGTCTTACTGTCTTCACCTTAAAAACACAGAAAGTTGTTCTATCTCTTATAGATACCATAAGAGGTCATGTACACTGCTGAACTGGAACTCGGTTATGTCCAACACCATGCATGGTGCTCCTGATGCCATTTGAGTTAGAGTTTTGGCACTGGGGCTATTTAAGTTTTATTTTTAAATCATCAGAGAAGCTTATAAATATAGAAATAAACACTACATATTTATGTGTTTGTATATTTGCATGTATATTTAAAGGTTGTATTCTTTTTTAGGTATTTTATAAATATATAAATAAACACTACATATTTATGTGTTTGTATATTTACATGTATATTTAAAGGCTGTATTCTTTTTTAGGTATTGGATTAAAAGAGGACAAATATCAGCAGCTCTTCTTTCCTTCTGTCTTGCTTTGATATTTCAACCTTAATATTCAACATGTGTTATTTTAATTTTTTAAAAAATTTCTGATGACAAGAATTGGATCTAGCTTACACACAGGCTAAGCACATGCTGTATCACTCGCACCCCAAGAACCTTATGACATTTTAGATTTAGTTTTAATCTTCAGCTCCTACGCCCAGAGCTGGGGTCTGAGCTATGGGAGATTCCAAAAATCAGACCCTGCTTGGAGCATTCTCTAGGTGTGTAGCACCTAGAGCAAAGATCTCCCAGTAAAGCAGACCCAATCCAAAGTGGGAACTGACAGAGACAAAACCTAAAAGGTAATGGTGATAAGATCCACTTATGAGAGATTCCTGGGATGCTCCAGAGAAGAAAAGACATGATACTCTGATACACATGGTTCTCAGGATAACAAGCTTTTAGAGACAGGTTAGTCTGAACCATTTCTTCATTAAGAGACTGGCCAGAATTTGAATAAATGAATAGAACAGATATAGCTCTGCTCACATATAAAAAGATTTGTTAGTGAACCAGATCTGAAGGGCCAACTTAGTGTACCATCTGACCACAGGCATAGTTGCTATGTTTTCATCACAGGTCTTTCCTAACCTGAAATTAAAAATCGTGCTCTCATGATCTCTTAGGAAAGCCTAAGAACCACACAATCTTAGGTGCTAACCCTGGTTCAGAAAGTTGAGGTCCAGCACTTTTTTGCTAAGGAAGCACTTTGCAATTTGTAAGCAGCACAGTTGTCATTTCCAGAGTGAATATTCACTGACAAAGGGAAGTCATAGCTGACAGATTCCAGATGGAGACAAAAGATTGTGGTTATCACTACAAACCCAGTTTCTCTTTGAGAAGTGCAGCTCAGGACATGTTTTGCTAAAGCTCCCCGCTCATTTTTGCAGTTGGTACCCTGGGTTCTACTCCTTTTCTTTATCTGGCTCCCAAAGTGCACCAAATTTGTAGGGTAAGAAATGTTTACACATTTTTTTATACAATCTGAACAAAAGTTTTATCGTATGCAAATGCAGACAGCGGAAAATCACATTTAGAGGTAACTCACAAAATTGACCAACTTTTATGGTGTCTTGTGCAGAAAAACTTTTATTATCTCTTGGGCTGATATTTATTATTAAATTCCCAACAGCATTTGTTTCTCACATATTGTTCTATTTTTTGAGAGTAAAAATGCTTATCGATAGCTTTTTAACATAAGACATTATTTAGACTAATAATGAATGTTAGACATGAATTTCTATGAATACTATAGATTTCTTAGAAAATAACAAAAATTATATACATTATTTGAAGTTAGTATGTGCAACTACCCTAACACAAATGTTGGGTGATTACCTTCTAGCCTATGACCACAGATTTATACACTAAGACTGTTATACTGCAATAACTCAGAGATTTCCTAGTTCTAGTATTCAGGGCTTCCATGATTTTAGTATTTGTTGATGTTTTCAATAATATTATTTCATTTCCAAAGGCTCCTTCTTCTGCTGTCCTCTCTCTCTCCAGATTCCTCCACAGATAAATAATTCCAGATGGAACTCATTTAGATTTATTATTATTATTTTAATAGCTCCCATATATCTAATGCTTACAATGTACAGGATATATATATTATCTGACATAATCCATATGCAGCCCACGTTTTAGCTCAGGCTTGCCTTTCTCCATACTTTGGGAAGAGGGAATTTGTCTGAAAACCATTTTTTTGCTCAACTTGTAACTACTTCTCAGGGTTGCATTCTTCTCCACATCACTATTGGCTGTGTCTTGGAAAATAGTCACTATGCTGCCAACCATTGCCTCAAACTCTGGGACAGTCACTATCCTTGAGGTGGAGCTGCTGCTTCTCAGACAGGATCAGGGATAATGATATAACTTTGTTACAGTTTGCATTTTAAGCACCCCCCAGGGATGCATGCTTTAAAGTGTTGGCCTCTAGCCTGTAGTATTACTGGGAGATGAGGGACAATTTAAGGAGGCAGGATCTACTGGAGAGAAGTTAGATCATTGGAGGCATTCCCTTGAAGGATATAGTGGGTTGTCAGCCCTTCCTCTTCTCCGCTTCCTGCTCAATTTATTGTGAGCTTTGCGCTACCAAATGCTCCCATCATGCTGTTCCACCTCTTCAAAGATCAAAGCAACAAAGCAAACAATAATGGGCTGAAACCTCTTAAACCATGAGCTGAAGCAAATCTTTCCTCTTTACGAGTTGATTCTCTCAAATATTTGGTTATAGTAATATCTGATTAACATATTCTTAACTCCTTCAAATCTACGTGTTGGCCTCTTTAACATATATTATGAAGTTGGGCATAACTGTTCCTATTTAACAGAGGAAACAATAACATAAAAATTAATGAGAAATAAAATGATGCCCACACTCACCAAAAAAAGGAATTGAATACATAGAAAACAGGTGCATGAATGGCTGGATAAATGATAAAGTAGCATTCATAAACCCTTCAGAAAGCAGCCTGATTCCTACTCTTATTCCATGTCTGGAACATCCCTTCCTTTGCTTTTTAGGAAGAACCTTCTTCTATCCTGTTTCAAAATTCATCTTCCTGAAAACCACACCTGCAGTCCACAAGGCTGACCTGGGGTCGGATTTTATGATTTTCCTCCTCCACAGCTAACAATAGACCACTCTAACTCATAATAACATATTTTTCCCCAAATCTGTGTTACAAGAGGAGCCTCCAAAGTATATTAGACAAGGTCAGGATGGATTTTGAATCCTACTCAAAGCTTGTCTTTCACATGAGGTCCAATATGCTTTCCTCATTCTTATGTTTTTTTAACTGTAAAGCTGAACATTTACACTTCCTGCTCTATAACAAACATTTTTCACAGAACATATAATAGAATCTATGGTCTAAATGGACAGGAAGAAACACCTTTATTCTGCATATAGCGTAATATGTCCTGATTTCTTCTCTTACCTCGCTGGATTGCTTCGTAATATGACACACAACATCACTGGCTCGCCTCTATTTTTCTTCCAACACGTCCAGACAAAATAAGAGTGTACAAAATCATACGTGTTTTCTACTTCTCAATCCACAAACCATCTGTGTCAAGAAGTTTCCTGGAAGTATGCATATACCAAGAAAAATATCTGAAATAAAAGGTTTTTCTTTCTCATTTAAATCAAATCAGGTTTGTGGATTATGCACCCCACTAGTTATAATCCAACAGGCCACAAAATGAAAATTTTCTATTTTCTTGTGTATAATACAGATCGTAATGGACTGGAAATAATGGTTAGCTTAGGTTGCCCTTTAAATTATATTTATAATAAGCATTGGAGTAGCAAACACTATTCCAGTGTTTGTGAAATGAAGCTCAAAGCATCAGAACAACACATCACAATTATACATACAGTGAGTAAAATTGCTAAAATCTGACCAAAGGTAGTGAGTTACTGAAGTGCATCTATTATAATCAGTTAAAGAATTCGCATTATTTAGGAGTGTTAACTTACTTTGAGTCAAGGAGAGAAATTATTTGTGTTTCATGCTTTCTGGTTTCCTAGTTCTGTTCTTTTCTCCAGTCCTCATCTTGTTAATTCACTGAAAGAATGGTAAGAACATTGGCATTTATATCATTTTCTCAGAATGAATTTAAAAGAAAAAGATCACACTCTGTCAGAAGAACACTAGGATTTAAACATCACAAGGGGAATATTTTCTCCTTTTCTAAAAATACAGTTTTTCTTTATGTAGACTCACATTTCTGTACTATATTGCTTTCCTTAAAGAAAATCAAAAAAGCCCTTTAACATTTCTTATAGAGTAGGTCGACAAGAAATTAATTCCCTCTTTTGCTGGTTTTTCTTGAGCATATTTTAGTTTTCTTCCATTTTTTTAAGGAACGAGTTAGCTGGTTATATCATTCTAGCTTTGTGGGATTATTTTTATTTCAATATAACAATATTTTATTCCATTCTTTTCTTGCTTGCATGAATCTGTGAGAATTACCTTGTATTTCTTACTTGTCTTTTTAAGATTTTCCCCTTTGTCTCTGATAGACTACTATTTCAATATGATCTGTATCTGCTGTTTATGCTAATAAATATTCTGGGCCTGATGAATTTAGTGGGGTATTTGTCATGAATTGTGAAGTCTTAGACATTTCTTTTCAAATATTGTTTTAAAGTGATATCTTGATTGTGTGTATTGGCCTTTTTGAAATTGTTCAGCAGATGTTGGATTTTCTGTGTGTTTTACTTTGGGGAAATTTTATTCCCTATCTTTAAGTTTACTTATTCTATGATTGGTTGTGCTGCATCTATTAGTGAGGCTATCAATAGCATTTTTTATTTCTATTACAATGTTGATTTCATGGATTTTTTTTCATAGATTCTTTCTTAGTATTTTTGTCTCTCTGATCACATTATCCATTTTCTTTCTCATAGAGTTTACTTTGTATATCTCTATTACATCTCTTAACATATTAACTATACTTAATTATTCCTACTTTATCATTCAAACTTCCGTGTCACTGTGACTGTTGTTTATTTTTCTACCTGACAAATTACAAACTTGTATATATGTAGGGTATTTAACATGATGTTTTAAAATATTTATACATTGTGAAATGGTTAAATTGAGCCAATTCATGTATGCTATTTCTCCTATTAATTCTTGTTATAAATTCATATTAAATTTACTAATTTAATAGCTTATTATTCTCTATAGTTTTCATAGATGGTTATGCTAGGTAAAAATATTATAGGCAGTCAAATAGGGCAAGGCCGTCAGGGGAGCCAATACAAAGGAGGAAAACACAACTGTGGCCAGAGGAACATCTATTGGAGGCCAGTCCTTAAGATAAAGATAAAATGACCACACCTACATACCTCACTGAGAGATAAATAATAAATTTACATCAGTCACCCCAGTGGGTGACCAAGACTCCCTGATTCATTGCTTCCAAGATCCTTGTTCGTTCCATGTGTACTTATGTGACCTGCTTCCTCATTCAATATTACCTAGGTGGCTAAATTTGTAATTTTATTGGTTGATCATAGCTTTGTCCCACATTGCATCCACCTCGTGATTTTGTCTCCACCTAGTGATTTTGTAAAACTTCCTCTGCAAAGTGGGTCCATGACAACCCATTTTTCAGATCCCCTCTTGTTTCTCTGGAGTTATCTTTCTCTCTCAAATATTTCCTATTCTTAACCTCCATTCTTCCTTTAGAATTCACTCTTTGGTTTTGGGGAGCACAAACTCAATATATTTGACATCTAGCAGCTTGGAAGTTACATTTATTCCCCAGATATCATAATCACGTATTGTCCAATAGCTCTCCAAGTGAAATTTTATGTTTCTTTCAATATCTCCCCAGTCCACACCTGTCCCAGGCCCTAGCAACTACTATTACATCCTCTGCCCCCATGAGTTTGATGTTTTAAGTTTCTATATATAAGTAAAATTATGCAGTATTTATCTTTCCGTGCTTGGTTTATTTTCCTGAACATAATGTCCCCTAGGTTTATTAACATTGCAAATGATAGGAATTTCTTCTTTTAAAGGCTGACTGGCATTCGGTTAGGTTTATCTAACATATTTTTTTTCCTACACTTTGGAAATATCTTAGCTATTGTGAATAATGCTACAATGAACATAAAAAAGTAAATATTTCTCTTACAGACTGATTTAATTTCCGTTAGATATATATCCAGTAATGAATTTCTGGGTCATATATTAGTTCTTTTTTCCATTTAGCTTTTGAGGAGATTCCGTAATTTTTTCCATGTTTTGAATAAATTTAAATTCACATTCCTATCATAATGTGCAAGAATTTCCTTTATTTTATATCCTCATCAGCTTACCTTTTTCTCTGAAACAGCCCTTCTAACAGGTTTGTAGTACTATCTCCTTGTGGTTTTGTTTTTCTGATGATTTGTGTGGTGCATATTTTTTCATATACCAATTATCCACGTGTGTGTCTTCCTATGAGAAATATTATTGAAGCCTTATGCCAGATTTTAAACCAGATTATTCGTTTTCATACTGTAATATAGCCCTGACCATACAGCTGGAAAAGGTATCTATTATAAACGAAGCGATGAATACATTTCATATGATTATTATTCTTCTGTCTCCAACGCCCAACACGTAACTGTGCATGATCCTTTCTCAGACCATAACTGGAAGAATCCAGTGAGATTTCTTGAGTTCCTTTTAGGATTTCATTCAAAAGCCAGGGATATCCACCAATTTTATTTTCCTTGACAGGACTTCCAACTCTCCAGAACCAGGTGGTTGCTAAAGTCTCTACAGATTTATTTAGTTTTTCAACTGCTGCTCTCTGATGGATTCCTTGATTTCGTTTCCCTGACGCTGTGGTTTAAAAACCCAGTGTAGGGATTTTTATGCAAATTGTAATTCTCTCTTGTTGCTCTGTTTTCCCTCTTTTTAGTGATTTCCCCTTTTAATTTTTATAAGCTGTGGCACCTTTGAGCTGTTCCTTTTTTTCAGTTCAGTAACACTCACTTTGTATTTGTATTTGATTGTTAAATGTCCTTAGTACTTAAATCTAGGGCTCACCAAATTTTGGCTTCTTATTTCATGTTCCTTTCAGTTTCTGTCATCTTTAAACAGCATCTTCAAGCAGTTTATATTTTATTCATAGTTTATAGTCACTTCTGCATGGTGGTCTTGTGAAACAGTTTAGAAATAGAGCAAATAAGGTAATGAATTCCAGTGAGACCTGGCATTAACTATCTAATGAATACACTTCATCCATGAGTTGGGCTTCTTCTTGGTAGATTCGACAAACTGATTCTATCAAGTGGATCTATTTATATTCAACAATCACCAGACTAACATAGAAAAATCAGAGACCCATTTTATTAATTTTCCAAGATAAATAAGACTTGGACTAGTCTTCAGAGCTGCGTAATGAGCAACTTGCCTTTCCCGTCGGCAAATCTACATGGGAAGTCAAATTACAAGCAGGAGTTTGTTTGTTGAGCATGAAATCAGAAAAAGGGATTGCGTGTTTAATGGACTCAAGCTCAAATGGCCTCAGGTGTACATCTCCACAAAATGGAATTCCTGGGAATGGAACAGGCTCCTCTTTCTCTGACTGAATTTCTCTTCTTCCCCCAACCGCATTTATTTATCTCTGTGCCTCTCTTTTTTATGAACTTTGGTTGTGTTATCCAAAAGCATTATTCTTTAATAAAAGTTTATAATGTTAATGTGGTTATAGATTCTACGCTCTGAGTGATATTTTATCTCTTATGACTTTCCCTATCATTAACTGATTTCTGTATTTATTATTCTAATTTAATACTAAGAGAAATATCTTATTTCCTTGAAGTTCAACATCTTAGGAAGGTCTGATAATGTTTCTCAGGCAGAGACTGCAGAACCGATCACCTTGAGTATGAAGATTAACTGGGATAACATACGTAATGCTCCTTGAGTTTGCTTGACAAGCATTGAAAAAACCCTTTACTGTCCTCACATTTATTCAAGGAAAACAGGTGTTACAGAAAATACCATTCAGTTTCTCTTGTGTGACCTCCACATGATTATGATAATTGTTTTCTTAAGGCTGACTGGCCAGAAAGCTAAGTCTTAAACTGCAAGTTTGAATGGAGATTAAAATAAAACAGAAGAAAGAGTTTTAATTATCAAGTCCCATCCATAAGACAATGATAAATCAAAATCTTACACTATGGTGTTAGCAAGTTTTTTGCTGCCATGACAAAATACCTGGGGTAAATCAACTTAAAGAAGGAAGGATTTATTTTGGCTCATGGTTTCCAAGGTTTAAGTCCATTGTTGTGCAGTCCTATTGCATTAGGCCTAAGATAAGGAGGGTTTAAGCACACAGCAGAATAAAGTTAAATGCTCCATGGCAGCCAGAACAAAACGCTCCCATCCCTTAGCATTCAGACAATAACTTCTGACTTCTGTCAATCATGAGGACATCTAAGCCAAAGATCTCAGTATTTGTCCTCTTACGCTTATGTTGGTGAATTTAGGAGCTAGTCTGTCAACCCCATCAGTGGCATGGTTAAATTTTACATATGATAATTGTATCAATTGTAGTATCTCATTTGCCTCTGTTGTTATTTACCATAATAATTAAATATCTATGTGGAAACGGAGGGTAAATATTTTAAATGTGATTTTATTTAAACCTTACAGTTCTGTTGACTATGGTTTGTTCTCATTTTCTAGCTGAGAAAACTGATCCATACATATCAGGATGAACATGAGTGAAGCTTATTCAAAGTCATGCTTGCATTTACTGTACTGCTTCATAATTCCTCTTGGTGTTAGAATTTTATCTTAGTCAAGGCACCAGAGATAATGATTAAAGGAGTGATTCCAATACTGAATAGTTAAACCTGAAGGAGATTTGGAAGTAGCTATTTTGAAAGATGAAATATTTTGGTGATGTTTATCAAAAATAAATCCACTCTCTCTTTGTATGGCTCCCATGGTAACAGAGATACATTTCAGTTTGTACATGTGTAATTCATCACTAATGCATTTGTTGCATACACAAAGAAAGTTTTATTTTTTTTAAGCAAAGTATTCTGTTA